TTTACGCTGGTGCGCTCCATCTTCGTGCGACGCCACCTGCGTAAATATTGGTCTTCGAGCCAAAAAAGTAACCACACTATACAGTCCACACAGCATCTCATCTGAGTTTTTTTTCAACGGCCTCAACCAATCGTCACCAGCATCACGTTCGTCCACATAGCATCACAGCAACTGCCACAACCAACGTGCCACAAGAGCCACAGCAAGCGTTTTTTTCTTTGGTTTTTTGCTACACAAGCAACGTTTTGGTTTGCATCACAGCATCACGCCTGCATCACAGCACCACTAGTGACAGCAACACATTTTTTTAATAAAGCAGCATATCGCACTACACAGCATACAACAACACATTAAGGTACGTGGTTTAATTTCATTGCACTTGTGTGTGTACAAATCGTCAAAAAAAATAAAAAACTGTGGTGATATACATATTTTGGAAAAAAAAAGACGCGCGTGATTATTGTGTAAACCAAAAAAGGGGAGAAAACACTCAGTGCTTATTATTTTGTTTAAATAAAAATTAGAACACTTTTCACGTTTTTAGTGGGGTACCGGCTAACATTAACGAATTGCGCGAACGTCCATTTTGATTCGTGATACGGTGTTGTTTGCGTAAAATTACCAGTCGCATTTACCGAAGCACAAGATTGATAAAATTTATTCCTTTCTTGCAAAGCACAGAATTTAGTTTTTTCTCATTTTACTGGCTTTCACTTTTATTTGCATTTTATTAATCGCGTAACTTCAAGTAGATTTTGCGAAACTCCTTTGGTTTCTTTTCACATTGCACTTGTCTATTATTAGTGGCGCGCTTGTACATTTTGCTGATCACTTCACTGGGTTGTTTCCCCCATTTATTTGTTGGTTGCATAAAATCACAGCCGCGCTTAAACAAACACAATTTCTTCATAAGAAATTTTTAAAATAAACTGCATATTTTGAATATCAATTATTTACACACGTATATCACATATTTGATAAGTTGGGTGGCGAGTGACTTGCACATTTTTTGCATATACGCACATACACATACGTAATTACGTATTCGACAGGCTTATTTGGCTGGAAAATAAATAAATCGTTATTTAAATACACAAGTTATCTTTTGTTGTTCTTATAAGAATTAGACTTATTTCGGGCTAAGCGTTTTTAGTGGCAATCTTTTTCTAAGAAGCGGCGATTCACACAAATAAATCTTTTGTCTTGCGTCCACCTCAGTTGCCTTTGGTCAAAAATGGACACCTTTATTCGTCAGGCAGATTCAGTAACAGAATTCGAATCTGACTACAACTCTATGCAGCCATCAGAGCATACAAAGCACTCCTTAACTTTCCAAAAGGATGAATTAAAGGCTCTGTGGGAAAAGGTAAAAGGGTCTTATGATGAACTTTGCGCATCAAAAGAGCTCGAAACCAAAGACCTGGCAGCAATTAAAAAGAAGTATAAAAGCACCTACTTCAGTTTTTTGCGGTGCCAAGCAGCAATGGCTGATCTTTCAGAGCAACTCGCAAAGACTGAAAAGGAAAGCGAATACAAGTCAGGTCGCGAGCTTAATATTCATCTCCCTCCTTGCGACACAGACATTTTTAAAGGAGATTATCTTTCGTGGCCATCGTTTAGGGATATGTTTACGGCTATATACATTCTAAATAAGCGCCTTACCCCAGTTGAGAAGCTGTATCACCTCCGGCAAAAAACTCAGGGGGAGGCCAAAGAAATAGTGCAGAGATCCCCATTAACCAACGATGGCTTTGGTGCGGCCTGGAAAAATCTTTGTGACAGGTACGAGAATAAACGTATCCTGGTCAATGCCCAATTAAAGGTATTATTTAATTTAAACGCAGTTGAGAGTGAATGCGGTAGCTCCATCAAGAAACTGCAACGCGACATAAATAATTGCATCTCGTCGCTTCAGTGTCATCAGATTGATGTTTCAAATTGGGATGCAATATTCACATATTTGTGTTCGACAAAACTGCCAGAAACGACACTGGCACTATGGGAGCAAACCATAGAAAATAAAACTGAGATTTCCAAATGGGTAGATATGGATAAATTCCTATCCAATCGGTTTCAAACACTGGAAACCGTGACAGGTCTTAGGGGAGATATAGTTTCGAAACCTAAACCACCAAGCTCTCGGAATTCTGCAGAGACGCCTGCAAAAAAGCTTGGCGCCTTTCAAGCCAGTGTAGCAAAGGCAACATGTAAAATGTGCAACAGCAATGCACACAAGCTATCAAAGTGCGACAGATTTTTGCGTCTAAAGCCGACGGAGCGAGTAGATTACGTGAAGAGCATTCGCAGTTGCTTGAATTGTTTATCTGCTGGGCACACAGTCTCAAGATGTACCAGCTCATTTAACTGCAGCACTTGTCATTCGAGACATCACAAGTTGCTCCATATGCCAATTCAGCCAAAAGCGACAACTGATCCATCGGGTAGCGTGGAATCTACTCCAAACCAGGCTCAATCAAGACGCGAATCTGAAAAAGGAAACATCAAATCTGTTACAAATGTAAATTCTTGTTACGCAAATACAAGTAAAGGAGTTTTGTTAGGAACAGCACGCGTAAACATACACTATAATGGTATACATTTTTCGGCTAGAGCGCTTATAGATTCTGGTTCTGAGTGCTCGTTCATTACTGAGAGACTCAAACGGAGAATCAACCTGCCATCAAAACGTTTGCATGCCCAAGTTTCGGGCATCAATAACTCTGTATCTGCGCAGGTAAAAGAAGCGTGTGCTATTCAACTTCGGTCACCCACAGACCCGTTAATTAATATAGAAGCAATTGTGCTGGTTTTACCACAATTAACCGGGGATCTTCCGACTTGTCAGATAAGCGCAATGACGCAGCAATCGTTCCCAGACTTGGTCTTGGCGGACAAAAGATTCTTCGTCAATGAGCCAGTTGACCTGGTCTTGGGAGGAGATATTTACCCGCAAATAATTTTAAGCGGAATGAGGAAGAACGTATTAAATACGCTTCTCGCGCAAGAGACCGTGTTCGGTTGGATACTGACTGGTCGCGCGGACTCAGTCAGTCCAACTAACAATATCGTATCGTATTTTAACGAAGTCACGTTGGACAAGCAGCTAGCTGCATTTTGGGAGCTGGAGGATGTCCCAAAGAAAAAAGGCATCAACGAAGATGATAAATACTGCGAAGAGCTCTTCAAAGCAACTACAACACGAAATACCGATGGAAAATACATTGTGTCTCTACCTTTTAAACGGGATTTTCCGAAAAATGTGTGCTTAGGACCTTCGCTGAAAAGTGCATGCTCTCAGTTCTACCGGAACGAGACGCGACTAGCGAAAAAGCCTGTCCTTCAAACAGAGTACAACCGGGTTGTATCTGAATACGAGACACTAGCACATATGTCAAAAATTAACAAAAACATTTCACCAGATTCAACGGACTGCTATTTTTTACCGCACCACGCCGTTTTAAAGGAAGAAAGTACCACTACAAAGGTCAGGGTTGTATTCAACGCATCATGCCCAACCGCTAATGGCATGAGTTTGAATGATGTCCTCCTTCCAGGTCCTGTACTTCAGGCCGATTTAACGATCCTCATACTCCGTTGGAGACTGTTCCAATACGTCTTCAACAGCGATATAGAGAAAATGTATCGGCAAATATTTGTAAATGAGAATCAAACGAAATATCAGCGCATAGTTTTTCGCACCTGCCCAAGAGAACCAATTAGCTTATACGAATTAAAAA